AATCTCATCTAGTTCAACAACTTAATGATGGTTCTGAATTCCATGGCAGGAAGTTTGGTCAGTCTTTCTACCTCCAGGAGCTCCATTGATTTGATCACTCTTTGGGGATGACATCATGTTTTTATGCAGTTTGAAATTATTTGCTGCTCCTTTAACACTGTGGTACTCCAGTTCAGGGAGGAAGGAGACTAGGTCTCCTGCTAGGCTGGGTACTTGGTAGGGTGGCCTTCAGGCACTGTCCTCACTGATGAAGTTGAGGGTCAGAAGTATCTGGAGTGGAGGTTGATGGAGGCGGGCCTTCCCAGCCCTCTGATCACTACTCATCAGTGGTCACACAGGGCAGGCCACAATCCCTCTCCAAGTTGCTACTTCAGTTCAAGGGGGGTAAAAAACAACAAAAATCCTGGCCAGAGGCAGGTATGAGTATGACTTCTCACTGTCTGCTTACTGCTTTCTGGAACAACAGAGAGCCTCCAAATGTCCATCAACAGAAGAACAGACTGAGATATTGTGGCATATTCACATGATGATGTACTATGCAGCATTCAGGAGTAATGATTTTGAAAAACACTATATAAGTTGGGAGAGGCTAGAGAGCATTATGCTGAGGGAATCAAGTCAGTCTCATAAGGACAAATACTGCATAAGATCATGATTATAAAAAATAGAAGGATTACTTGTAAGACGTATATGAAAGCCCTAAGAGGGAAGGGGAGAGAAGAGAGGGCAGAGGGTGGGAAGGGGGGGATTCTTGAGGACATAGAATTATGTGGTCAGAGTGAGGGGTTGAAGGAATTAGGAAAGATCCAGTGGGGACCTCAAAAGATAGGGTAATGGCAGGGATGGATCAATGGCAATTGATTTTATAAAACAAACATAAGGGAATGATACCATGAAGCACAATGTGAATAGTGGAGTGCATGAAAAACAGTATCAATAAAATAAACACAATATATAAGAATATTGTATACAAACCAATATAAAATAATCAATAAAAAAAGAGAGAGCCTCCAGGCTCATTCCCCACTGAAACAGGTCCTGAAAGGAAGCAGGTGCTGCTTCCTGCCCTCTGCCCACTGCTACCAGGGACAGAGTTAGCCTCTAGATTAACTGCTCTTTAGCACTCTGAAGAGGCCCTTGACCAAGTATAGTGGTGACTATGCTCTAAAAGGTGTGATGAGATTTCATTATATATGAATGAAAGGTAAGTGCACATAAAAGCTGTTGAAATTAAAAAAAAAAATCTGAAGTCGATATTGTGCCAATGTTAGCTTCCTAGTTTTGATGATTTAGTTTTACATGACTAACAGGGGAAACTAGATGAGGTATAACAAGGCTTCTCTATTATTTTTGCAACATGTGTCTATAATTACTTAAAAAGAAACAAATCCCTCTGCTGAAGAAAGGAGTTCAGGTTGGAGAACTAGGAAGTGTTTTGTTGTGTGCTGTCAAGTCAGAACTGAGCCATCGCTGACTCTCCAGAGAGTTTTCAGAGGCAGTTAACTGCCTGGGGGCAGATTGCCCATCCTTCTTCCATGGAGCAGCTGGTGGATAAGCTAGTAGAGAAAAAATGGTCATATTAATGAAGGTTATGCTGGCGGGTCTTTTATCTCAAAAATCTCAATTTATTTTTAATGCATATGTGGAAGCAGATACAATAAATAGTAGTCCCCTCCTTGTCTAAGGTTTCAGTTCTGTCAATCCTGGTCCAAAAATATTGAAATTGTGTTTTATTCCTGTGGAGTGATGAAATCTCAAGGAAACTCCTCTATTTAGGAGTCAGCACCCTCAAGTTCCAACGGGTGTCTGGGAACAGTGGGGTGCACCATGTTCAACAGGTTAACACTATCCACCTGGAGCATCATGGTACTTGCCATATGTACGTTAAGGAAAAATAGAGTGACTTGATACTCTGTATGGTGGACATCGTGTGGGGCTCTTGGAACATATATTGCTCTGTGACTAGATATGGAGGTGAAATGAGAGAGCTACATTTACAGAAATCACTTGGAGAGTAAGTTACCAAGGGTAATTTTTACAGTTTGACCAAGATTTTCATTTTCTAGGACAGGGTTGAGCTGTGTCCCTGAGATGATATACCATCACATTTTCCATATAAAAATCAGCAGTTATACTTTATGTTTTCTGATACTGATTTCCCTGGGTACTAGAACAATTTAAATCCTAGTATATGAAACATAAAATGGAAACAGCGATTCCTAACACCAGTGTAATCATTTCTCAAATTTTTGCTTTTAATAATTTTATTAACAAAAGGAACCCATGGGGTTCAAGCAAAAGTACAAAATACAATCTTAATTTTTCACCCCGTGAGTTAAACTGTTACATTTTTAAATAATAAAAAAGTTTTTTAAAAAGCTTTCCAAGTTAATTTATCAAAAACAAACCCCTGTCCAGTTTTATTTTGTGTGCAAAACAAAAACATAAAAAGTAAAGGCTGCTCAAGGATTTTGCGTGCTGAAAGATGCACATCGTTAATTTCAAAATATTTCCAGCAAAGTGAAAATTCTAAGGCCACAGTTTCTTTGTAGATGAAACAGGAGCAGTAGGGGCATAAACAAGCAAATTTTAGCAGTTAAATGTTTACTCTTCATTTCCAAATATTCTTTGTTCCAAAGTAAAATTTATTGTACATAAAGTAATTTCCTGATTTTAAAAGAAAGTATTTAATGCAGTTTCAGCCTACAACAAAGGTGAAAGATACCAGTATCAGTTCCCTAAGGGAAGCCTGACTTTCCTAGCTGTTCTCATTAATGCTATCCCGTCAGCTCTGCTCTGATCTGCAGGGGAACTGCACCAATCTCTAATAAAGGCAGCAAACAACCCAGAGGGAGAGTCCATTAAGCAGTTTGTTCTCTACAGGAAGCCAAATAATTGAAGGTTCTCTCCTTCTATACTATTTCGGTGATTTCTTTCACTCTGATTTGGTATTAAGGATATGGAGTGTTTCTCCACAAGACATCTCTTAGAAGAAAAACAACAACAATAAGAAGCTGGTGATTCCTTTCAAAGGTAAAAGGAAAATTTAGACGGCACTTAAATACATGTAACTCTTAAGATCAAAGAAAAACAGTAATTAAAAAAATATGGAATAATAAAGTTTTGTGGCAATTTCAGTGTTAGAATTACTGGTGTAACAGCTTGGCATTTTGATTTTAAACAGAGGCTTAAGCAAAAGCACATGGACAAGGCTTCCATAATTGCAGACAAGAGGTGCATCCAGAAGGGTGAAAAGCACATTTACGTTTCTCTAATGTGGTTAGAAAAAAATACCTGATTAAATGGCAAGTTTTAAATGCAAAATTTTAGCTTTCTCTTTTCAACTGAATATACTAATGAATGGAAAAGAAATCCTACATAGTGTGTAATGAAGCACAGAATATTCTGCTTTGGCAGCACCAGTTTCTCGATCAAACCTTAGGATAAATAAAAGCTCTTGACTAATCCATTTATCATGGGAGTTCTGATCTCTCTTCTACATAATGTTCAGAAATGCTCTCAGCTCATAAAACCAACAGATTAAAGGAAGAGCAAGTGGCACTGTGGCCGTGAATTGAAGGGCATAGAGAAAACACTGCTTAGACTTTTAGCAGCAACACATTTTGTTGGTCTCAAGATCCTGAGAGGAAATTTTAATAAAATATTGCACCAAAACAAAAAAACAAAATCACAGTCTAAATAGCTACTAAAGAACTGGATAACAATGGACAATGAAGTGACTGTCATCTTTGTTCTCTTGATAGAAACAAAACATTATGTCCTTTTAAATGGTATTTCCATCCCCCTTTGACTCTGCACTTATTTTCAGATACCCTTGGTTGTTGCTGTGTACCATCGAGTCAGAACCAACTCATAACTGACCCTTCAGCACCTTTTCAGAGGCAGCAAATCTCATGGGAGAAGACTGAGCATTGCTGTCCAGTACATGCCTTTGGGTTGGCAGTGCACCTCAGTACCAACTAAACCACCAGGGCTATATTTACTTCTTTCAAGTGCTATCTTTTGACATTTTCTCTTGGACCACTTTCAGATTTAAGGATGGTTTAGATTAGACTATTACTGCAAGTAGGAGAAATGCCAAAGGAGACTTATCAGGATGACTGTTTCAAAAACAGAGCTGATAACCCCACCAGAGGTAGGTTCAGAAAAGGCTTCTTTTGGACCACATAGGTGTCAAGTCATCTTGAAGATACCAAGCTTTCCCTCTTCTTTATTGTAATGTGCTTCTAGGTAAGATATGGAGAGAATATCTTTACAAGTGTTAGAGTAATGCCTTCAGCAAGATATGCTTTCACACTCAAATTCATCCCATTTCCCCCCTCTGAACAAACTTCTCAAGGAAATCTTTCTTAGTGTCCTAATACTGAAAAGCTGATTTATAAACTACATTTAAAGATAACCACTGACAGAATGAAAACTATTACTTCATTAGGACCTCAAAGGACCTTAATCTTCAGAAAGGTATCTTGCAAGGTTTCTGTTCTTGGAACACAGTGAAAATTATGAAACCTGAGGGCGGCATTTCACTTTTATTGTAGGCTATGCTTCTATTCAAGCACACCCTTGTGTGCTCTCCATAATCAAGTCTTCTTCCAAAGAGGTTATACTCTTAAAGCTTTAGGACACATCAGTCTATACTGAAACATCTTTTCAAAGGTTCATGTGGGCAGTACTTCCATCGTATATGCAAACTACTTTCTGTGGGTCAGTGCAAGCATTCTCATTCTATCACATCCTCTTATCATCATCAAGACTTCCATTGCATTCTGCAGTTCTTCACATCTTAATCCCATAATTATAAAGGGACATTACGACAACATAGATTCATGCAACGAGCTTGTATATCCACGGAGAGCATATGTTTTCTTTAGTTTCTCTCACCTTCAGTCCTGATATTTGTTTATGTTTTTAATCATTCCTCCTCCTACAGAAGGAAAGAAGGCAGTTCTAATTAGAGCACAGTGATTCCTGGTTTATATTCAAAGAATGAAGGAAACAGGTTGATTTTCTTCTACATCACTCGGATGAGGGTCAACCTGCAAAAAAGAGCAGCCTGTTGCAACATTCTTTATGATCCTAGCTCCTGTTTTGAATTACACAATGGTCATAAACTCATTTGGCTGCTTAGAGCCTCTTAATGAGAAGTAAAAGGAGGCCACTTAGGTTCCTGTAATACACAGCCATATAAAACATCTTAAAGGCACTGAATCTGTGGTCTGGCATATTGAGGCATGAATTACAAGGCAAATATTGCAAAATGTGATTGGTGAATCAGTGACAATCTAGCACCAATGTAAAAAAAACAACAAACATGTTCTACGTATCTCCTATTAATTATGAATTTGCAAAAAACACTTTAGTGAATGAAGGGTAACAAATGATTGATTATACACAAACAGCACAGTAAAAGTCTATTTTCTTTTGCTTTGTTTACCTCTGAATAGAGAGGTGGAGGCTGAAACCGAAATTCCTGTATGCAGAACATAGGACAGCAAGCTTCGCCCTCACAGTTAAGGGGTTCAGGGTAAGGAGGAATGTGTCTTGAGAATTCTTCCTCTGATACAACATCTGCATAATTTGGTGGAGCTGAAAGAGAAATGAGGCTGAATCTAAAATGATCATGTAAAATTTGATTAATTACAGCCACATAAGATGGATGGGCAATCTCCCATGTGATTAACTGACTCTGAAAACCTGCCAGAGGGTCAGCTATGAGTCAGGTCCGACTTGATGGTACACAATAACAACAAGATATAACTACCAGTCTCATCTTCTGTGGAACAAAAATGAAAGGAGGAAACCAAAGACTGACAGAAGAAACCAGTCTACAGGTCTACCGGTGTGCAGGAGCCTCCTTTACCCTTGAGACTTCTACAAGAACCACATGGACTCTGTTCACCACTAATGACTGCTGTGATCAGGGCCCAAGGTCAGTGCATACTGACAGAGGGGGGAAAATGGGGAACAAATGTGAGTTCTTCAGAAGCTCGGACTTAATGAACCAGTTGAGCTTGAAGGACTTAATGAGACCTTGAAATCCCCCTAAACTTTTATAATAGAAACCACCTCAATTGCTACCTTTCAATGAAATAATACTGGCTCATAAAATAAAGAATATTACCAGCGAGTACTGTATACCCTTAAAAAACTTCACCTGTATTAAGCCAAACAGTCAACAATTACTCAAATGCAAAGATGAAGGGTATGGGAAACCACTCTGGAAATGAGATATCCAGAAAGGGCTGAAAAAGCTGACACATGTGGAAAAAAGTACCCAATGTCTCCCAACATGTGCAGTTACTTGTTAAATGAATGGGAGCCTAATTTGCTGTGGAAGTTTCCCAATGAAAACACAGTGTTGTCTTTTTTTTAAATGATGAATTACGTTGACCTTTCCTGAACTTTTTAAAAAGATAAAAAACTAAGCTTGGGAAAGTGTCAGTGTGGAGACTAAGGTGTGCCTGATCCTGGCCAGAGTCTTTGCAATTACTTGCTATGCACCAGAAATCTGGACAATAACTAAGGATAAGAGAAGGAGAATCGATGTCTTTGAGCTGCAGTGCTAGAAAAGAGTGTTGAATATACCATGGACTGCTAGGAGAGCAAAGAGTTTCATTATAGAGAGGTTGAGATCAGGCTGCTCCTTGGAAGCAAGGATTCTGAAGCTTTGTCTGACATACTTTGATCATGTTGCAAGAAGGGACCAGTCCTTGGAGAAGGACGTCTTGCTCATGAAGATGGAGAGACAGCTCAGTAGAGGAAGATCTTAGATGAGACGGATTGATTCAGTGACTGGGGTAACGGAGGCAGGTGTGTAGGAGACAAAAAGATTGGCACAGGATAGAGTAGGGTTTAGGGCTGTTGTACATAGGGTCAGTGAGTTGCAGGTGACTCAATGGCATGTAACAAGAAGCTAAATTTGATTATCAAAGGATGTTCTTGTTTTTCTCTAATCAGCAAGCTATGCTGTCCATGATATATATTCATGTTGTCACTAGTGATCATCAAGTTGATTCCAATTCCTACGGATTTTTAGATACTAATTTTATGAAAGTACTATTAACAACTATATTCTATTCTCTTGAGACTTGTATTAATATTATCTACATAAATGTGTATTACTCAAACAATGCTACATAGAATACACAGCAATCTGTAATTTAATTTTTAAAAGTTTTTATCTTTGTACTGTTTAAACCAGGATTATTGTTTGCTGTGGCTGTTAAGTGCCATCGAGTCCAGTACATCTCACAGCAACCCTATTACCAAGAGATCTGATGCCTGTCCTATCCTCTGCCATCCTCATCATCTCCAACATACTTGAGCCCACTGCTGCAGTCACTGTGCCAATCCATCTTGTTGAAGGTCTTCTCTTTTGCTGATGATCTTTCCAAGCATGATGTTCCTGGATCTGTTAGTGATAACTTTGTGTTATCAACTCTCATGTGTAAAACTCTCAGGGAACACTGCTTTATGACATTCAGTAGCTAATAGATATTATAGCTGCAGTATTAGCATTTTCTAATTAACCTTGTGACCAGTCAGGCTGTTGCCTGACTGGTCAAGGTGACCAGGGCTGATGGTGACCTTTCTATGTGTAACTGAGGAGATCTGTGCTCCACAGTGTTCTTGAAGTCATGCGGATGTAGACAGCCAGGTCTTTCTTTTGGGTACCTCCAGGTGAATTTGAACCAATCTTTGGATTAGCAGTCTACTGTCTGGCTATGTATGAGGAAAAGGGAACTCTAGCAGTCAATTAATATTTATAAATCAATTACATATTAACCAATTCAGTCAAGTCAGCAATCAATTAAAATTAGAAATTTGGTAAGCATCTTACCAAATACAGTCGTCTTTTTTTGTTCTGTCTAGTCAACTAAGACACAGAGCAACTCTATGAACAACACCTCTGAACCCTGCCCTACCCTGTGCTATCCAACACAGCTGAGCCCACTGTTAGTCTTCTTGCTGTTATATTCCACCAAGTCACCTAGGACTCATAATGGCTCTATGTACAATAACTCTGACCTCTGCTCTACCCTGAGCCAGTCTTACTGTATCCAACACACCTACCTCCATTATCCCAGTTACTGTGCCAATCCATCTTATCTAGGGTCTCTCTCCTGCTTAGAAACATGATATATCGCATTTTAAGAAGAAACACTTGGGAACGTTTACCTTCAGGCTGTTCTGGCAGGGTCAGTGTCAACCAGCTCATATCCACACTGAAATGGCTGGCAACACTGGAGTTTCTGCTGCCAAAACCATTATAAGGAACCGTGCCGATCACTAACGGCAACTCCAGCATCAATTTTTTAGCACCAGGAATGTGAATGTACACCTGACATGGCCAAGAAAGGAAAAAAGATGGAGATATAAGTTAAACCTCAGGGTACATCTACAGAAGAATTTCTCACAGAAACAAAAGCTTCGATGGCCTGCCAACTCACAGTGTAATTAGAGATTATGATGGCCACAAATTGAAGAACAAGCAAGATGAAGGAGAAGCAGCACAGGCTCTGTGTCCAGAACAGAGTTTTAACCTACTTCATTGTATGGTAGCATGGCTTACGTAACATTGTGTGCCAGTGACTGCGATTCAGCAACACTATGGGTTGCAGTCTGAACTGCTAACCATTTTGTTAGCAGTCAGGAGCATAACCATTGTGCCACTAGGAAATTAAACTACATAGCTTCCAACAGAACAAGCATTCATTAAGGCATCTCATTATGCTACTCAGTTAAGTCTCACTCAGGGACATTTTTTTGACTAAAAAAAAAAAAGGGCTAATCTTCATATATTCTATGAAATTCAAAATTAATTGCTTTTGAGCTGGAACCAACTCACAGCTCAACTAGTCGGTGTTCAGAGGCTGTCAAGTCTCACAAGAGGAGACTGCTCATCTTTGTCCTTTGGTGGATTCAAACTGCCAAAACAGTGCCGTCTTTATTTCTGTTATAAAATAGCATTATGTAGGGATTTACTACACCGTCACAGTGGCATGACACCAGCTCCTGCATGTTTTCAATCCCAGGAGCAGCCCTGTGCTTACAGCTAAGGAGTAATCCACTCGGATGATGCAGCAGTCTAGGATGGACGGAGGAACAGGCGGGATCTTCAGGGTCTTCCCATTCCATATATCTGCGCTGCCGGAGGCTATGTGGTTTCCTCGCACATTGGCAACCATGTGGCGCACAGTCTTTGTTTTCCCACTCCCCAAATATGTCTGAGTTTGGAAAATCGCAGCTTTGGGAACAATCAGACGAGATGAGCAATTTTCTATTTCTGCATAGATTGGAATAGCTTCTCCTAAAAAGAAAATAAAAACATGGCAGATACAGAAACTTTTGAAAAATATATGCCCACAGAGTAATACTGTTACTATTAACTAAAGCTAAAAGTGTGGGCAACTACTTTACCAAACTGAGACATGCTAGTGGAAAACTTATATTGTAAATCTGAGTTAGACAAATGAAAATTAACTTTGGCTGTGGAAGATACTATTTTTTCATTTGTGCATTATTCTCTTTTCAATGTACTGCTTTGTATGCTAGGTTAGCAATTCTTTTTTTGTTTTTTCTTTTTTAATTTATTATTAATTTCAGTGAAAATTTACAGAGACTTTGGATTTCCATTCATTCATTGTTGCACTTTTCG